GGTCTGATTATACAAACAAACCAGACATTTATACGTTGGAAACCGTTGTTTCATTCAAAGAAGTTGGTTAGAAAGAGAAGACATACCCTCACGATGTGATCATTGCTTAAAAACATTTTGGGAATGCAAACTTTTAATTGCCTCTAAGCCTGTGGCACATTTTTTGAACATCATTAAAACTAAAAATTTTTCATCCTTGGAAGGTGAAGGTTTAATTTTTGATAGTGATCAGAATAGTTTAGAAGCTAGAGTGTTCAAAATTATTTCATTGTGTTAAATGATATTATTTTTGGTTTGCAGGGGCTCCTACTTTAAAAAAAAATACACATATTTTTGGTGTGATTGTGTCTCACAAATTGGCTCTGCTCACATTTCCAAAACTGGATTCCAGAAATACTGTAGACAATTGTATTACAAATCTGATTTTCCAAAGAGACAATACATTTTAGGAATTAGATTCAGTTTATTCTTGAATTGCACATATTTTTAAAAGCACAGAATTACTTGACACCCACACCTCTGATATAGGTTTTGATCTCTAATTTCTTTAACTCTATGAATAACTTGAGGCTACAACAGTTAGCCTGTGCGGCTTTGCTGACTTCAGTCTTCCATTTGTTTATTCAGTTAAGATATCATATAGAGACTCATTTTTTTTTATAGTCTGTTTTCTTGGCACATGCTTTATAGACAGACGAAAATAATGCCATCTATCCCATTTCTGCCACTTACTAGTTAAATGATCCCGGCCAAGTCAATTAGTTTCCGCATATGTTAATTGGGAATACTTGTATTTGCATGTTAGCAGCAGGTGTTTGGAATAAAATATGTCAAATGTCTGTGGCATATCTTCCTTGATTTGACCCAACTGCCCGTTATCTGATCCATCCTTCTCCTTTAGGCTCAGCACCAAAACTTTAAGTCTCTCTGAGATATTTTTAAAAATCTGTTATCCAAGTAAGTTAAGAAAAGTGTGCTCAAAGAGCCACGTGCTACTTTTATGGAGGCTACAATTTTTAAATATTTACCTTGGGCTAGTGGTCCCTTCTTATATTTGGCTCCAACCATGTTTTAGAACATCAAAGGATCGTTGTATTTAAAGAAGATAGCCAGTAGAAATTTTTAAAAAGCTGTTTCTAAATAGCCAGTGATTCCAATGATTCATTAAAATACTTTTTGTTTCCTTAGGAAAAAAGTTTCCACATACGCACAGTAATCATTTGGCGTTTTGTAGGCTTAAGCCTTGGGGAGTTAGTGGTATTTGGCTCCTGACATGGAAGTCTTTCTCTTGTCAGACAAATCCTTTCCCCTGCACATTCCTGCTGAAATTTGTTGCTCTTGTGCCTAATGGCAGGCTTGGAGGTGGTTGAGTATGGTCTGCGCTGCCTAAGCACTCTGCTCCTCACTGCTGCTTTCAACTCTTTGTGAGTTAGCTTTAACTTTGTGGCTGTTAACCCATTCATTGTTTCACCTAACTCCAGGATCATTTTATCTGGGGAAAAATTGTCATTATGCAGTAGCAAGGGGAGATAAATGTGCAGTGAATCAATCAACTTGTGGTCTTTGAAGTCCTTTCTAATGACTTCTTTATTTTGGTTAACATGTCTCCAGGGTCTTATAAGGAAACCATGAATATTTCTGAGAGATTTGGAAGGTTGTAGGAAGCGGTTGTACATTTTGACATAAATGTAACAAGATTACATCATGACCTTGATTCAGGCAGTGCAGGGCTGATGATATGTTTTTAATATCAAGGTTCTGAATTTTACATATTATCCTCCAGAAAGAATGTAACACCAGGGGAGCTTCATTCCCAGGAGCAAACGCCAAGTCAGTGCAGAATGTGGCAGAGGCACATACGAGTAAAATACTTAGTTTTTTTTTTTTTAAAGCGAAGAATTGATTTACGGTAATCAAAGCACAGACATCAGAAAATAACTGAGGCTCAAGAGTTTATGAAGAAGAAAACTAGGATGGTGTGAATGTCAGCATATGAATCAATTATTATTTAAATTGTGCTTCTGTTTTCTTGATGCTCACACTAATGTTAAATGTACGCAAATGCATATTTCACTTTGGGTAGTTATCAGATCATTTGGATATGTTGAATTCTTATTTTAATCAGTGATATTGATTGCAATGCTATCAACATGTGTATATGTAATGTTTTTTATATATATATATATAAAAATATTTAAATTGCTTACCTATAATTTGTGAAAACTAACCCAACTTTAGGTGAAAAGAAAAGTGCAGGTGGGAATGGTAGACACTCTAAAGTCCTGTCTAGTAATAAGTGTATCACAGGCTCCATTTCTGTTTTATTTGAGTCTCCACGCAAATGTACTTAATTACTAAGAGAAATGCTTACAAGAGCTGGAATAGAGAGACAGAAAAATATACCAATTTTATTATAATCATTCCAAACAAATTTCATTTAAATAGAGAATTCAGTATAGATATTTCATACATAGATATATTACATGTAAATCAAATTCAGCTTGATTGATGCATGCATAGACAAGAATTTTTTTAAAGTAGACTATTGATAGAGCGTCAACTCTGCTTTTTATAAACTCATATAATGGCAGATTTTGCTTTTTTCCCATGACCTGTAGAAAAGTGCCTAATTTTTAACCTGATTTTTTAATGAACCTAATATTTTGGTTAATTTAATTATATACAACCATTCAACAAATGGTAGAAAAACCCCACAAAATTGTGTAGCCTTTAAAATTATGTAATCTTAACTAGGCTGAAAACCTATAACTTAAATTCAACTGTCATTATTTAAACATGATATTTTATGATTGCTATTATTGATCATAATACTATTTTATATTTACATGTGTATCAGGATTTTCAGCTTTTACATATACAATGAATTTTATTTCATCTGATATTTGATTACTGTTAATTAGAGGTAAAATAAAACATTGATTTTTTTTGATAATTAGCTCAGCAGTGCTCTTTATTTAAAGAATAAATATTAGAATTAAATGGGTGAAACAATTATGTGCAAAGTCCCACTTTCACAAACTGCTGTTGAGTGGGCATTAACTGGGAAAAGAAATCAGTTTCACAGATAAGAGTGAACACTGTGGAGGGGGACGCCACTCTCTGTACATGGGTTGGGATCTCCTTCCCTGGAAACATAGTACTTCTTTCTAACGTGCCACAATATGTGGCAGAATGGATGCCTGGGGTCAGTTTATGCTTTGGGTAAATATACAAGTACCCAGAGAACAGCACTGTGATTTGACTAATAAATCATAATATTCATTTAATTGTATTATAATGTAGTTAAAAACTAGGTGTAACTGCATAGGCTATTTAGTTCAGTTCCCTCATTTTATATATCACTCATGTCACAGTGGTGTTTTTACTGTTAAAGTTCAACATAAACATGTTCAAATCTATGCAAAAGTAATTTGTAAGAAATAAAGCCACCCAGTCATTATAATCATCTACTCATCAGCAAGTCATATTCATTCTCAAAGACTGAATTATCTATTCATCCAAAAATTACAACCATATTGACACAAATTTTAAACAAAAAGCAATACATGGATTTATAAATAATACCTTAAAGCGATAACCGGCAGATCGTAATATTCCTGAACATTCCAGGACTCACCTTATGCAAGAACAGTGTATTCCTTGCTAAGGAAAGGGTTCAGGTTTATTGAATGCTGCGCTGATAATTTGAAGCTATAGATTTCAAAGCTGTAATTACATTAGAAACATAGAGTCTGGGTTATGTGTTTTGCCCACATTTCCAAAACTGTGTATTCTGGAATGATTTTTCTTTTTCTACTCACATTTGTTTTCCAACATGCCTTTTCTTTTTCTGAAATAAGAAAAAAGGTCTGAGCAAGGGTCAGGCTTTGCAAATATACAGATGATACAGAAAGCTCACGTGGTTACTAGAATAATGTGCTTTTGTAATCCTTAGCATTAACTTGTTATACGTAATTCACTTTGAATTGTTGATAATAAAGGTAGGACCTTCCTTCAACGCATACATGCACACGCATATTTCCACTTGCAGGCTTGTATTTGCATTCTGGCTCCACACTGCTGTGCTCTGTGACATTTGGCAAGTGACTTAAGTTTTCTGTGCCTTAGATTTTTTGCCTTTAAACATGGGTAGTAAGAATAACCAGGCTATAGAATTGTAAAGATGAAATGAAGTGATAAATGTAAAGTTGTAGAAAACCTTCTGACTCTCTATATTAATTATTATTATAGTTATGATCATGTTTTAAAACATTTTAAATTATCAAAACTGTGTCATTTTTGTTTGAATGGTTAGCCATTGCTAGAATTATGTATTCTTTTGGGTAAGCTATAATAAAACCTTTTTTCTCTCTGTATGATAATAGTGGTAAGTGGAACATCTGAAAAATATGTTCCGTGCAAAATGGATCTTCACACAGACTTATTTTGTCATTTCAGCTTGATTTTTGAGTTGAGTTCAGCACATCTGCCAAATCCTTTTATAAGATGCTACATTCCTGTTTTTATTTTCGTTTCTTTCATTTATGAAAAGCTCTTTTCTTCTCCACCCACCACCAAACAGATCACCTATCCTCTGTTCCTCCCTCTCTTAAACTGTAATGTTGCTGTGTATTCAATTTTTTTAAAAAATAAATTTAAAAAGAGAAGAAAAACTAGAAGGAATCAATCTGTCACTATTTTCTAAGTCATTTTCCTTTTTATGTAGCTAGATTTAAAAATAATTCTGTTTTGAAATATACCAGTTGATAATGAACTTGTCTGTTTGTTTGCCACATTTGGAATCACAGACCTTTTTTTGTTAGTGTGGGAAGGAGGCAACTGGGCTGGGGAGGAAAAAAGATGGGAGGACAGCAGATGAAGAAGCATCAGTTTGCAAATATATGTTAATATTTAGATTCTTTTTTTAAAGTGAAAACTTAACTAGTTAATGCTTTCTTACAAACTGTCTTTGATACTGTGTTCTGTTTATTTCATCCCAGAAGAAGTTAGCAGTATACAGCAAGATGCAGGACTCTTTGGAAGTCGCCCTTCCCAGCAAACAAGAGGAAGAGGAGGAGGAGGAGGAGGAGGACGAGGAAGAGGAGAAAGACCAGCCTGCCGAGATGGAGTACCTTAACTCTCGCTGTGTCCTCTTCACTTATTTCCAGGGAGATATTGGGTCAGTAGTGGATGAACACTTCTCGAGAGCTTTGGGCCAAGTCAGCACCCTTCATCCAGAATCTACCATTTCAAAAAGCAAGATGGGGCTCACCCCTCTATGGCGAGGTAAGAATTCAAAAGCAGATGCTCTCCAGGGCACTGTCTTTGTTTCGCAACTGCCTGTACCAGGTTCCAGCTGGAGATTTGCCCCAGGAGGACGGATATCCACTTGCTGTATAATTTTTAAGGACAGCAAGGAATTTCTTTCAGACAAACAGCTGGATCAGTTTTGTCACATGTGGAATGCTGGGTTGGAAAGGATGCAGTCACACCCCTTAAATTCCTCTTGGAAAGTAGTGATACAACCCAACCGGCTTGAGTTTAGAGTGACCAGACTGAGCTGTGAGGCACCATTCTTAATGCTCTGCTGGCCCAATTTGGATCTCTAAATAATAGGCGTGCCTAAATCAGCTTTTAAAAAATCAGCTCTTGCTCATTCCAGTAAGTGCTACGTGGTGACATAGCAGAGATCTGAGTCTAACCCAGGAGTATAGACTTTGAAAGCCTCTGTGTTCTCTTGACAGCTTTCTCTGTCTTCATTTGTTGTAGTAACTCTTTGTGGTGTACAATCTAGTTATTCTGGGCTACAACTAGTGTCTTCACCTTGGTAAAGAAGGGGTATGTTGCGTTCCCCATCTTTATTTCCTTTTATTTGGAGGTCACAGAGATACGTTTGAATAGGATTTCTCACTCACAGAAAATCACCAGGTGATTTATTAATCAGTGTAGTTAGAAGGTTAGAAAAGAAAATATATCATTGCAGTGATAGCTTCAGAGAAATGTGCGACAGAGATTTCTTCCAAACTCATCTGCTTATTAAAAGTGTCTAGTAAAGTGGTTTGTGAAGTGCTGTTTCCAACAGGAACAGCAGCATCTCCTGGGAGCCGGTTACAAGTGCAAATTCTTGATTACCCACCCCAGACCTCTGGGTAAGGTAATCAATTGACATTGATAGAGCAGTATTAAAGACAGTTTGTATCCCTCACTTATCTCGAATACATAATATTAAACTGAAATCTCTGGAGGAAGGGACAGGGAGAGAGTCACTCTTGAACAAGTGCCCTGGTGATTCCTCTGGTGAGGAAAGGCTGGTCCCCTATGGTAGGGGCAGGTGGACAGTGGCTACTCGTGGGCTCTCTGGAGCAGGGGAGTGATTCTGCTCTATTGTAGGAGGTCTGGGTCATGCTTGATGGCTGGGCATGATCTGTACATACTTTTCTTCCTTTTCTCCCCTCTTTCCCGTCTTTTATTTCTTCCTTTATATTTTAGTAAATATGAACAACACTAAACAGCAAATATAAAGGGGAAGAAGGAATGTAAACCAAATGTCCAAAGCCTTGAGATACTCTATTAGAAAATATGCTATTAATTTGATTAGTGAATTCACCAGGGTGGTCCTTAAGTTCGTGTGCAGATTTTTATGTGAAACTATTTGAATTGCTCATAAACTTTATAGACATCTTATATTGTGGGCTTTCAACAGGAACAGAGACTTAGTCTTTGAAAGCCTAAAGTCCTTATGTAATCAACTCACATCCCATTAAATAGCACACAGTGAATGATTGTAATAATTTGTGGAGAAGAAATAGGAAAACATCGGTAATTAGATAGCTTTAACAAATAATTTGATTTATTGGTAATAAATTTCATCAGATAGTCAGTTCCAGAAAGCAATAAATACAACGTGTACTACTTTTCACATACTGATGTGCAACCTCGATATCAAATCGGAAGACCCAAATTATATCCTGGTATGAGAGTGCCTCTCGGGAGTATTAAAGTCAGAGCAGTTTTATGTGGAATGTTGTGTTATGTGCAAATCCCTGCAATAATTCAGCATTTTCTCTTTAATTTCCATGACACATTAGGGAAGCCCATTGAACAGATTTCAACTTTTTGTGTAGAAAGAGCAAATCATGATGATGTTTACTAATTATTGTTATAATTTTCATGGCACCATCTTAAACTCAGAAAATCTGTCTCTCATTTCATTCATTGACGTATGCAGCAAATATTTAATAAGTTCCTCCTATGGGGTAGGCAATGTTCTGGGTGCTGGGACTGAATCAGTGAACGGGGTAGCTCATGGTTTTGATATCATGAAGCAGAGCCAGGAATAAACATGAAATTAATGACACATAAGGTGCTATTTTACTTAAGTTGATAACAAAAGCCCTCTTGGAGACAGTTATATTTGAGCGGAGACCTGAGGGAAATAAGTGCACCCATCATGGGGGTATCTAAGGAAAAGTATTCCACACTGGGGGAATGGCCAGTAGAAAGTCGCTGGAGATGAAGTGAGTTTAGAAGGTTCAGTGGGAAACAAAAGTGCTTCATGAGTGGAATGAAAAGAAAAGTAATAGGTGGAGACCAGATATTTTAGAACTATGGTTCTAAAATGGCAGATTGTCAAAGAATCCCAGGAGAACACACCATGTTCTTCAATTCTCATCTCTTCTTCTCTGGCTAAGGCTACAAATCTCATATCTGGTTACCAGACATCATTTTCTCTGAAGCTCAAAATAATCTGAACTATATACAAATGAAATGTTTAACTGACTGAATTAAATGAACCAACTTCATACCATGTACCTGGAATTAGAAAAAAGTCTCTAGTAGAGAATCTATTGGTGTTTAGTTATATAAGATCTTTGGATACAATTTTCTTATTTATAAAATAAGGGGGTTGAATTAAGGTATTGTTGAAATCTCTGTGTAAATTTCTGTGATTTTGAATGTATTACTTACATTTCATTTGTGAATCAGAATTCTGCCGCAGTTTTTGCTAGCATGAATTAGTCAATTTTACTTAAACATACCAAACTTGGATAGGGTCATAAGAGAACCACCAAATGAAATCAGAAATATAGAAAATATTTGAAAGACGAGATGCCATACTGTAAGGCTTACATGCCTAGTGAACACTGAGATCTGGTGAGAATTAAATATTAATTGGCAAAGCTACACAGGATTAGAAAAGGTAGTCTCTGGAGACTGTTTTGGATTCAAGTCCTGGCCTTCTTACTTTCTGGTTGCACTGTGATCTTGGATTAATCACTTAAAATCTCCCTGGGATCAACTTCCTCCACTGTAACATGTGTTTATTGATACCTATCTCCTAGAGTTATTATAAAGATTTTTGATCATGTGTATGAATAACTTTGCACAGAGGCTTGACTCAAGTTGCTAAATGAAAGTCAGATACTTTTTCTCTTTTCCTTAATTGTAATTTTCCATTCATTTGGCACATAAAAAAAAAACAAAAACCTGGGCCTCTTATCCTGAAACATTACTTTCTGGAAGTTTTTATTTACGGTATAAAACAGAGTATCTGAATATAGTAGGTACTAAAGACAATGGCAATGATACTTTATAAAGAAACTTCTGGCCAACCAGTTGTATATTAAAGTAAGAGTTCTAGTTTACACTATGTATGATGAAGTTATTACAGTGCTACGGAAGTGCTACCGTGCTATAAATGGCTTTACAATGTTTGATTACACAATATATTTCCATAGCAAATCTTTAGACAAAGGATAATATGTGTCAGCTAATGGAAAAATGATTACACTTTGAGTGTATATAGTCTTGATGGAAATTTTTTAAAAATTCTTTTTTCACCTTTTGTGGCTATTAGGCAAACAATAACAGGAAATAATTGTACTTTATTTGGCAAAACATTTCACTAGTTACCTATAATCCTGCTATAGATTTTAATGGAATTGGAATTGAATAGGTCCTTTCAGTTAAGAATATCTAGTGAATCTAAATGTTCCCTTATACCCACACAGTGACAAACATTAGCTTCAGATATGTTTATATATTGATCTTTACAGAATATATATGGTGTGTTTGTGTTTGCGTGTGGTATGTGTATGAGATACAGAGACGGGGAGTAGTTAAGTCAAACCCTAGTAAAGTAAATAACTGACTTAAAACTGCTGAGTGGCAATCTTACTGATAATTTTTTCTTCTTGTAATTACAAAGCATATTATCTGCTGAGTCATTGATCTCAGTAGGGTCTGCTTATGAAAACTCGTTCTCATAGGAAAAGACTCTCAAAATCCATAGTAAATTTAAATAGCAAAACTGAGGCAGGAAAAAGAGGGTTATCTCATACCTGGTTCAGACTGGGAATAAGGGAGTAGAAGTTGAGTGGAATCTCCAGGGGCCCTAGAAGTTATCACTTTGGGTAAATTTACCACAAACACATGGGAAGGAAACAGGTCTGACTTAACTTATCCTGCCTGCTCCAAGAAGTGTTAGCATCTGACTCATCCCCTCAAAACTCTTGTACGTTTCAAGGCCATTTTGAGCAGCTTTAGAAGAAAATAACTAGAGGGCAGTCTTTGGACATAATTAATGGTAGTGCATAATTACTGAATAAGACAAAACACTGGGACACGTCATTTAACCTTTCACCTAACAACTTATTAATATTTTTGTGAGCAGAAGAATAAGAGCATGAGGATTAATTACAGAAAGAACACTTTAGATTAAGAATTGAATAGATTTTTTTTTTTTTTTTTTTTACTGAGCTTAATAAAAAGGTAAAAGTGTTATCTTTTAGCATTGCTATCTTTAAGACTGTTTTCTGGAGAGTATTAAGATATCTTAAGATCAAGCTTTTACAGTATTTCATTGTCCCACTTTTTAAAGATCATTTTCATCATTTTTTTTTTGGTAAATCCTAACTGTGTACATTTATGGGGTACAATGTACTGATTTGATATACAATGTGGAATGCTTACATCAAACTGATTAACATAGCTGTCAGCTCACTTACTTATTTGTTGTGATAAGACATTTATACTCTACTCTTAGTAGTTTCAAATGTACCATTGCGTGTGCACAATAGGTGAGGTCTCGCTAAATGCCCTCCCTCTTCCCGCCCTCCTGTTTAATTCTTTATTACTTTTTTTCTGTTTAATTCTTTAAATTAAATTTTGAATTTTCTCTTTTTAAAATTATTCGCTCTTAGTTTTGGTGGTGTGGTTGTTTTGCTTTGTTTTTTCAAAGAAACATTTAAGGGCAATGCAAAAAGTATCTTCATTGCTGTGGTGGTGTGCCATGTTAAAACTGTTTCATGCCTCTGAGATATATTTCTGGCCTCAATCAGATCGTGAGATTCCTGGATATGCTTTGAGTGGGTTATATTAGTCAACGTTTCAATTTTATCACTTTTTTTTTGTTTGGAAATAAGTGTGTATAGTATTTTTAATTCCAAATGTAAGTTGAACCAAATTATATTTAGACTTTTCATACAGGTTAGACTGTCAGTGTTAACATCATTCAAATATTGGTTAACATCATTCAAATATCAAGTAATATTAAATCCAAAGGCACCACGGAGTGTTAATATCATCCAGTTCTGCATTGCTTCCACTAATCTGAAAAGCAATATTGCATTGAAATAGCTCATACAGTTTCTCATATGCTTTTTCATCCAACCAATGTGGCTATGATTAAGTACTCATAAGCAAAGAATCATGTAATGAAAAAAATTTACATACATATGAAATAAGCATATTTATTCTCAGGCATTTTGAACAAAGCACATCATCTGTTTCTTTGTATCAAGCTTTTTTTTTTTCTTCAAACAAGCAAGATATCAAATAGTGATTCTGAAGTATAAACGTTTTCATAAACATATTTTCTATTGAATATTTTTTCACTTGTGAAATGCAACAGTTTTTTTTTTTCCTGAAAAGGGCTTCATAGATCTCTGCAGAATTTATATTAATCTTAGGAGACATATTGACTGGGAAAATATTAAATTGCTTCTAACTTTATTTCTTCCTGTAGTATTTTAAAACTTTGTTCAATATTTTTGGAGTGAATTTTCAAAAATAGATCTTCACTTTCAGTAATAATGTGCTCACTCATCACAACACAACATTCATACATAGATCAGTAATACTTATGTTAGGGAATTTGTTCGTAATTCACATTTTTGCCTGTGTATCCCAAATCATAAGCTTCAATAAAATATGTACATATAAAGGAGAAGAAATAAAAGGAAACCATCCAGAGAGATAGTATACATAGGGTATGCCCTATACTTTTGACATTTTAATGGAGAATTTTAATCAGGGAAACTCTATCTCTAGCGCATATTTGTGGGTTGGAGTTTTCATGATAGGATTCTGGCACTTTCAGGAGATGGAAATTATGAGCAGAATGAAAGATTTGGTCCCAAAGATGGGAGTTGTGAGAGCAAAGTAGGAGATTGATGGCTGCAAAGCTGAACTATATAATATAAGGGACCTCTATGAACTCTTTGTATGGATTTCAAGCTTTAAGTATTGCCAGCTTTCATTGTGGGTGTGACAGAACTATTATGTACATGGCCATCACCTAAGGCAAACTGAATTTTCTTCTCACACCATAAATAATTTTCTTTCTTGTCATTAACATTTGTCATGGCAAAAAGAAACAATTGTTAAATAAAACATATTTACCCCCATGACAGCAAGTTTGATATTTTTGGTTTTGATAGATTATGATTGTGACAAAAGAAAGTGATTCAACTGAAAGTTTTCTGGGACTGTTGGAAGACTTGAAGTGTGGGCACCTCTGCCTGTTGGCTTTTTAAGAACATCACTTCCTAGATTTTCTCAACATTTTGCGATCCGTGGACATATTGTGGGAGAGACTTGACTGTGAGGCTATCTACAGGATGAATGGGGTGAATGATGTCAGCTCTGGTGCAGTCCTGAAGGGGAGAGAGCAGACAAGCTTGCCATGTTAGTGCCACAGCCTCCAGAGCCTCTCTAGGAACCTAGAGAGAAAAAGTATTTGAACACCACAGTGATTGTCTAATTATGGTAGCCAAATGATATATGTGGTAGTCAATTCAAATTCTTTTAAGCTTTCTCTGAGGCTATAACCCACTAATAGCCCAAGAATATGGGGAAAAGGGAGAGGGAAGGGAGGGGATGGGGGAGAATGGGTTGAAGGAGGGTGATTGGTGGGACCACACCTATGGGTGATCTTACAAGGGTACATGTGAATCTTTCTAAATGTAGAATATAAATGTTTTAACACAATAACTACGAAAATGCCATGAAGGCTATGTTAACCAGTTTGGTGAAAATATTTCAAATTGTATATAGAACCAGCACACTCTACCCCATGACTGCATTAATGTGCACAGCTATGATTTAATTAAAAAAAAAAAAAAGAAAAAAGAACTATGTCCTGGAAATTTATGAAGTTAGAACACAAATATGTCAGACTTTTGAATACTTTTTTGAGTATTTCGTATGATATCCTCCATTCAATATGGAAAGATCTAGCAAGGTCCCTTTGTGTGGAATACCATGTAAAAATACTATCTTGTTCATGCATCACTAATGTCTGCCACAACTGTATCTGTATTACATAGATAGAAATAGAGAAATAGTCCACGGGACCTTAGCAGAGTAGTAAAACTATTAGACCAGAAGATAACTTGAACCCAAATGAATTTCAGTACCTCATTTTTTGGTGAAAGGTAGCCACAGAAAGATCAGTGGGCCCACTGGGGTGATAAAATGAGAGAGCCGAATGAACTTAAGTTTTCCCCCTGCAGGCAGTAGTCTAAAAAGAGGGACTGAGCTCTCTACACACAGATCTCACCATGTCAACTCCAAGTTTAAAACCCTTCAAATCCCTTCAGGACCTCCTCCACATGCAGATCTATGTCAACTCCAAGTTGAAAACCATTCGAAGCCCCTGGGGACCCCCTCAGAATAGAGCATACATTCAGTACCATGGCCAGCAAGTTCACGAGTCCATTCCTATTTTTGTCTTTTTGATTTTATAGCCTTTTTTTTTTTTTAGTACCTTCTGCTTCTGAACTCTTTTATCTCTCAAATGCTGCAGCTGGAAAAAGAGAGAGAGAGAGAGAGAGAGATGGGTTTTCTTCACATGCAGGTCCATTTGCCTGGACCTCTCTTCCTCACGTCTTCACAGTCCCGGCTGCTGCTCGGCCTCTCAGCTCTGACGAGTCATCACGTTGTTAGGCCGATTCGGTGCCCTCACTCTGTGTGCTTCCTGTTGGGGAGTCCCTGTTATGTGCCTTGCACATGTCTATTTACTGACTGTTTTTTCTGCAGATTGTGACTAAAATGATGTCTGGTAACCCCGAGCCCTCTGTGTTTGGTCCCTAGTAGGCCATCTATGAGTAAGTTACGAAGACTGAGCAGAGACATGGAATGGATGTGTAGTTAGAAGTGTCGCACTCTTTTTTCCTTATTCATCTCTAAGTGTCATTCTTTAATATTTTTCTCTTCCCAAACACCTCCTGAAGCCCACCACCACTACTTGAATCTCTTCCCCTTGTGATTACCACAGAATCTTCACCAAATTCTAGATGGTTGGGTTCTAATTGCAGTTGTGTCCTCTTGTGCCATATGCTGACGTGTGCCGGTCACGGGCCATTTAGGTAGGCTACCTGGCTTCAAAGTCCAGTCTTGAATTGCCAATCTGAATCTTGGGTCATTTTTCTGCTTTGATTTCCTCGTCTCTAAAATGGTGTTAATAACAATCAATACTTCACAGGACTAGAATGAGAATTCTATGAAATCATGTAGGAAAACCCTTGTCCTAATATCAGCCATTTGTTATCATTTTAATAACAATGATTAGTAAATATTAACTGTTACTATACTCAGTCTAGAGACTCCTAGGTCTGTACAGAGAAATAATTGGAATACATTTTTCTTAATGGAAAGTGAATGTTGGTGATCATAATTAAGTGTTATCTTACTTCCATTTGTTACTTTTGGCATTTAAATATATGAATGAAATTGAATTTTCATTTAGAAGAAGTTGGTGAAAAGTACAATTTCTAAACTCTCTAAACCTCATCTATTGCACAAGCTTTCTGTACCAGAGGATTGGGTAGCTGTGACCCCTGCTCAGACCTGATGGCTGCAAGATGCCCAAGAGGAAATGAGGCTTCTCAATCTCAAAATTATAACGCTTAGCACAGACCATGACAGAAAGCAAAGAAAATGGAATAGGATGAGGGTGGAGGATGGGGGGCTCATTCAGCACTGTGGATCTGGTGCATGGACTTGGCATGGGATGGCAGACGTTAACCTGGTATCTGTTCACCCCTGTAGGGGGACATTAAAACTGCACACTAATTTGCCTGCTTGCAAAGTATTATTGGGCAAGTAAAGGCAAGTCTATCCCAGAACTGAATTTTAACGTTAATTTTTTTTCTGTCTTCTCAGACAGCTCAGCTATCTCAAGCCAGCGGAGTAGTTTCCCAACTTCCTTTTGGACCAGCTCTTACCAGCCCCCACCTGCACCCTGTTTGGGGGGAGTTCATCCTGACTTTCAGGTCACTGCATCCCCTGGCACCTTCTCTGCAGCTGACCCCAGCTCCTGGCCAGGACATGGCCTGCATCAGACTGGCCCTGCACCTCCCCCTCCCGCATCAGAGTCCTGGCACTATCCCTTGGCATCTCAGGTGAGCCCGTCCTACAGCCACATGCATGACGTGTACATGCGGCACCACCACCCCCATGCCCACATGCACCATCGCCACCATCACCACCACCACCACCCTCCCACTGGCTCCGCCCTGGATCCGTCATATGGGCCCCTGCTGATGCCATCAGTGCGTGCAGCCAGGATTCCTGCTGCCCAGTGTGACATCACAAAGACAGAACCGCCTACAGTCACCACTGCTACCTCAGCGTGGGCCGGAGCCTTTCATGGAACAGTGGACATAGTGCCAAGTGTGGGGTTTGATACAGGTGAGCTAGAACATTTCTTCCTTTCCTTATAAAGGAAAAAATACATATATTAATTTAAAGAATGGTGGAGTATTTTTTGAAATGTTTTTTGGAAGATTTTTCCTTTTATCTGTGAAGTGCAGCTTTGTGAATATGTTTAGAGAACACTGAACCGTTTTGCACTAATTGCAGCATTGGTGCCGAAGCTGGCATAACTAGCTCATGAAGACATGTCCTAAGAAAGGCCTCAGAATTGCTCTCTCATCTCTTAGGCTAGTGATCTGTTTCTTTGAAATGGAATCTCCGGTACCTAATATTTACAAAGAACTGAGCACATTCTCTAAATCTCCCATGTCTCTGCGCTCTACCCCAGGTACATTGCCTGATAGAATTCAGAAATAGCATGCCTCAGTGAATTTTCTTTCCCCCCTATTCTGTTAAGACTTATTGATGACATATAAAGCAAACTACTTTCTGGAAAATAGTCTATAGTCCAGGCTTTCGGAAAAGAATTAGGGAACATATGCTAAAAAAAATGGATTTTCATTCCTTGCTTTCCCTCCTTCTCTGGCCTCCCCTTTGTCTTCCTCCTTCCTCCCCCTCCCCCGCTTTGTCCTCCGCATTCTCCCCCCCATGCCCCTCCTTCTGTCTCCTTTTCTCACTGTGATTTAAATAACACAACACTTAAAAGACCACTATAAAATTTATACTTAATAGATTTCGAAAAAAATAGCAAGGAAAATATTTCTTCACAGAACATTCATCTCCTGTCTGGAATTCACTAGTCCTGAAGGTCACGGTGTTAAATGTCTCAGCTTCATTTTTGGACCAGGCTAGTCATATTAATAGTCCTAATAGTTCTGAGTTCATGAAATCATAGGCATCAGAGGCTAAAAAGACAAATCAGGTCAATGATTCCTTCCCTTGAGTCTACATTCCAAAGTCCCCCACCTCTGCCTCTAATCTCAGGTTCTTTTGCTAGCACACTTTGTGGCATACTGGAACATTCTTTCTAGAAGTTTAAAGAAACTCTTTTCTTCTTTTGTTTTTCTGTAGTTTGGAGGATATCTAATCCAGGGCTGGTTCACAGCAGAAAAATCCCCAGAGTAATAAGTGGGTAGTATCACGCTGTACTCGCCCTGACACGAGCAGATGATGATTATCTAATGGCTCCCTACTGACCTTCCCAAGGTTGATCATTGCCCTGCCTCACCCATTTCAGTTTCCTGGGGAGACTATGAATTCAAGCTGTTTTTCTATGTAGAATATTAGGGGACTTATTTCTCTTTTCCCTGCAGAAAAATGTTTTATGGGTCTAGACAGCACAGGCTTCCCCCTTCATCCTTGGCCATTCTTGAGTTGTTTGATCCTTGAGGCCAGATCTTATTAGACTCGCAACTTGGTAGTTGCTTTCATGTGGAACCGGCCCTGGAGGCTCTTCTCTCTTTACTGTGATACCTCTGTAGCTAGAGTAACAATGCTCTTGGTAGGAAAGAGGCATGTTTTCCCATCTGTAAATTCTGCCAAGCAAGGGGACATGGATGTGATTGCTTGTTGCTCTAGTTCTAATTCCTTATCTTCTTTTTTGGTGTGTGCATTTGTTAACTTTGGTGTGACCATGATTCACTGACTTGTTCGGAATTTTGGCTTAATATAATCTCATCAAGATGAAAAATCAGCATCTGTTTTTCAGAAGTGGACAAGGGAAGGTTTTTTTTCTCTGTGCAAAAAATCTGGAAATGACCCATTTGGATATATGTAGTATTATGCAGTCATTCTTGAAACTTACCAGGCTGTGAGTGAACATTTATTACTCGCAGTATAAATATAAAGCATTACCGGGGGTAAATGATGCATAGTAGACCCCCCATATTAGACTACCTGCCTACATTGATCACCTTCTTAAGTTGACCTAATTGTCATAGGCTGAACACCACATGTGTGTATCAGTGCAGTAGGCCTCATTCCTTATGTTGACAACCTCTGTATGTTGACCAGTTTGTTATAGTCCCTTGGGTGGCCAACTTACAAAGGTTCTATTGTATGTATATGTGTGTGTATATATATACAAGTACATATTTGTAATTGCTTTTAATTCTTAAACTAAATCTGAAATGGTTTTTGTTAGATTATTTACAACTAGGAAACTGAGGCTTAGAAAACTGACTTGCTTACATTGCGTTGTTATGTATCTAAGCTGAGGTTTGAAATAAAACCTGTCCCTCTCCAACAGATTATTGGCGTAACATCTTTCTGTACAAATATAGATAAATTAAGTAAAATTTGGTAAATTAAACTGTTAAGATGGTTAATGGTGAGGAATGAAGGTATCCCTATTGAATGTATGCAATTGTTTTATTTTTTTTTTTTCCCGACAGTCTCACTATGTCACCCTGGGTAAAGTTTTATGGCATAACAGCTCACAGCAACCTCCAACTCTTGGGCTTAAGCAATTCTCTTGCCTTAGTCTCCCAAGTAGCTGGGACTACAGGTGACCACCACAGCACCTGGCTATTTTTTGTTGCAGTTGTCATTGTTTAGCAGGCCTAGGCTGGGTTTGAATCCACCAGCGGTGGTGCATGTGGCTAGTGCCCTAACCACTGAGCTACAGGTGCTGAGTGTTGAGGTGTTGAATGTATGTAATTCTACTCTTTGTTGGTGTGGGGTTGGGACAGTGATCAAAGTTCTTAAGTTACAACTCAAGTGAGGAAAACCAAGGAATCATGCAGATAAAAATATAATCATTAGCATAATCATTGATCAGGTGGAATTTGAGATCACAGAATAATAGGCTTAATATAGTAATTGGACTTCTTAGTGCCTTCAGCTAAGTTTAGATACCAAGAGATCCAGTCCCTGGGGAAATCTGAACTTCAGAGATGATTCCCATGGACATCTCCCTGTCACACACTTTAAAGTCCCCTTTCTGTGGAAGAGAGTGCTGCAAGACAGAATACGAGGGATTCCCCTGCTGTGTTTGCCTACAAAAAGTAGTAACAGGGGGACCCTGTACCTCCTTGCATGGGAACTGGCTCAGATGAGAGAGAGTGGAAGGGGCTAAGCCATTTGAGGTCATTTTCTTCTCCTAAACACAGACATAATATCAAATACCACATCTCTCTTTGAGAGTAGAGAGAGGTATTAGAGGCCAGATTTCCCAGGAAATAGACTCTAAGATTCGGAAGTGTTTGCAGACAATTGAGGGAGTAATGTAACCAGGACATCATTTTGGAGGGATAAGGGAAGGTTTGGGCAGAAGGAGAAGTTGCATTGAGGAAGTTCCGCAGAGGCATTAATTCTACAGGTAGTTCTTGAGCAGGAGAGTCCTTCATAACTGTCCTGCCTTGAGTCAGGAGGGTTGAGCTTTGACATTCCTACATTGACCAGTTATTGGTTGTGATATACATGTCACATGACATACATGTCACTGGATAAGGTGCCTTGCTCAGGTGAAGTTAATTCCTAAAAAAGAGAAACAACTGAAGTCATGAGGTGCTCATGAGGTGCCAGGAGTATCATCAGTCTTGAAGAGGTGGTCTGATCTGGTTGCACACTACAGAGTATACTATAGGGGCCAAAAAAGGGCATTAACTATTCTACTGTCCTTCCAAACCAGTAAAGAATGAAAGTTGTTGTATAATAGGCCCAAGAGAGGAAGGGGTATGGTAGGTAAGATGAGTGAGAGATGGGTTTCTCTATACATTCTATGCCATATTGACCTAAGAGCAACACAGCATCAATGTTGGGTGGTTACAGAGCAACTAAGGAAAGACCATTCAAGTGAGACAATCATAAAATTCCTCAAAGGTCAGGTATCTGGGTTACTAAAATGTAGGTCATTTCCCACTAGCTACTTCCACATAGTTCTAGCTATTTTGAGAATGATTTAGGAAAGGACATGATATTTTCTTCAGTAGAAAAATGCTGAATTAATCTTTTCAGGATCCTGTAATATAATGCAGTATAATATAATGCAATACAATACAATACATAGACTAGGTGACTGATAAAAAACAGTAACTACAGTTTTGGAGCCTAGGAAATCCAAGATCAAGGGCCTGGTGGTTTTGGTGTCTGGTGAGGGCCTGCTTCCTAGATGACTGCATCCTCATATAATGAATTGGGCTAATGAGCTCTAAGGGTCTCTTTTATAAGGGCACTAATCCTATTCATAAGAGCTCTGCTCTCATAACCTGATTACCTCCTACATCCCCACTTCCTAATACCATCACTTTGGACTTAGAATTCCAACATCGGAATTTTGACAGGGTATTTAAACATTCAGTCTACCACAAATGATTAAATCATTTTATGTGCATTTTTACTTTGTAGTCATTTATAGAAATTATGAAAATCTTGAAATATTGAAGGTTCAATATGATAAATTTAGTGGCAAAAGAAAGTTTTATAGCATCAGGTGTCATATAAGTGTTTAGTTAAATTTTTCTGTAAAGAAGCAGATAGAAATCTTTCATACTTTGCTGTGGCTCCACTACCTAACTCTGCTCTTGTTGTGCAGAAAAGCCGTAAACAAAACGTAAACGAGACTGGCTGTTCCAATAAGACTTTATTTGATGAACTCTGAAATTTTAATTTTGTGTACTTTCCATGTGTACACAAATGCTGCTCTTCTTTTTGTCTTGTTCTGTTTTCAAGCATTTAAAAATGCAAAGCCCATTCTTCCATTCTTAGCTCATGAGCTCTGCCAAACAGGTGGTTGACCAGATTTGGCCTGTGGGTAGTTGCTGATCCTTAGTATATTGTCTGTGTGAAATGTTTATTTTCTGCATAAACACTCATGCACTCCCTCAGTGAAAATAATCTGGATCTGGAAGCACAGAGCTCCAACTTCTTATGGTAGTTACTCTTGATCTGAAAGGACAGAGCTCCAACTTCTCATGGTACTTACTCTTGATCTGAAAGGACAGAGCTCCAACTTCTCATGGTACTTACTCTTGATCTGGGAGCACAGAGCTCCAACTTCTCATGGTACTTACTCTTGGTCTGGAAGCACAGAGCTC